GGGGGTAGAGGACTCAAAGGATTTTGCTGAGGAGGCAGAGGGAGAGGCTGAGGGACTGGGCCTTTAAAGTAGGGGCCCAGAGAGCCTGTAGCCCTTCTGGTGGGGCAGGGACGGGAGCTGGGGATGGAGTGGAGTGTGAGAGTGGCCCATTTCTGTTTTATAAGTCTTTTTATTTGAGACAGAGTCTCACTTGCCCAGGCTAGAGTGCTGTGGCATCAGCCTCGCTCACAGCAACCTCCAACCTACCGGGCTCAAGCCATCCTCCTGCTTCAGCCTCCCCAGTAGCTGGAACTACCCACATGCACCACCATCCTTGGCTTATTTTTCCTATTTTTAGTAGACATGGGGTCTGCCTCTTGCTCAGGCTGGTCTCAAACTCCTGACCTCAAGAGATCCTCACCCTCCTTGGCCTCCCAGAGTGCTGGGATTACAGGCGTGAGCCACCACACCTGGCTTGTTTTATGATGTAAAATGTAAACGTTTCAGTTACTTATTTTTCATTGTAGGGATTATTAAACAAAACATGTTGTTTAATTATTGTCTTTCAGTGATATTTGGTGAAGATGTTGCCTTTGGCGGAGTCTTCAGATGCACTGTTGGCTTGCGAGACAAGTATGGTAAGTTAATCCCTGTATGGACAATGTTCCTGTAGAACTTGCAGGTAAAGATCTTAAAAACACAAAATATGCCTGTTAAATTGTTTTCCACATCCTCATTGCATGGAGGGGTCCTTTCCACTTCCACAGCTGCCTGCAGCACCCTTTGGCCCAGATCTTGCCAAATGTATTCTCTCTGGCCCTTCTCGGATCTAGTCACATTACACACGCCATAGATCCCACAGTAATCTTCCTGTAATGGATTTGTTTATGTGTCCTATGTGTCCTTCCTCTGGCCGAGAACCCGTGGTGTCTCGTTGCTGCCTGCCTTAGCCCGTTTCAGTCCGTCGCCTCCAGTTGGGTATTCTGCCTCTTGGTCTCGGTTAACGGAGTTCATCTTGGTGGGGAGGAAGGAGAGGAGAGAGAGAGGTTTATTTTTTAAGGAATTGGATCACACAGTTGTGGGGGTGGCAGGTCCGCAGGGCAAACTGGATGGCTGGCTGACAGGCACTTTCTGTCTCATTCTTGAGGCTGAATTCCTTTTTGCTTGGGAAACCTCAGTCTTTTCTTTAAGGCCTTAAATTGAGTGGATAAGGTTCACTCACCCTGTGAAAGGTAATCTGTTTTACTCAAAATCTACATATTTAAATGTTGATCACCTCTAAAAAATGCCTTTATAGCAACATCTAGACCAGTGCTTGACTAACCTACCCATAGCCTGGCCAAGCAGCATGCAGGGAGCCCCTTTGCAGCCCTCCCCCCACTCCTCCCCCTGCAACCCTTCCCCCACTCCTCCCTGCAGCCCTTCCCCCACTCCTCCCTGCAGGCCTGTCTTTTGCTGCCACACCTGGCATTTCCGCCTATTGCTTGTATGAATTTTATTT